CGTATGAATTGTTGATCAATGGCGTGGGAAGTGAGATATTTTAATTTATTTGTATAAATATTCGAATGGCCCACCTATCGAAGAAGTCACCTAGTCCACCGGGATTTTGCCCGGTTGCCCGGTGGCAGAGCTGGGCAAGCTACTTGGAAAAAGTAGCTAGCTACAAGCTACTTTATATTGTAAGTAACTAAGTTACTCAGTAGCTCAACTACCTCTTTCAAAAAGTAGCTAAGCTATTAGTAACTTAACTACATTTTGAATTAGTGAAAGCTACTATTTAAGCTACTTTTTTGAAAGTTAAATTGATAAAAACAAAAAAGCGTGCACAATCGCCACCATCAATGTACATGCCTTACCTAATTTAATTTCATAATATCATCATACGAAAATAACATATTAACTTTCTCTAAGAAGTAGGATTCATATTTTTGTCAAAAACCACTGGACATTAATTTATTAGGTTCACTTTGATCACAGTGATCTGCGAATGCGAGAATAAAATAGGACACATAAAACATAGGTACCTACAGAGATAACTAGAAACTAGTCTAAGCAAGGCAGGATAAGAATTTTCCGGAAAATGATAATTTTAGCTTGAGCAATTAAAGTATAAAGTACCTTTTATCGAGCGGTAAATTCAAACGCGGGCGATAGGTTGGTGGAAACGTGCCTTTATAAGGGGAAAACTGTAATAAGTATTTTGGGCGTTGTATCGTTAACCACACCCTCGGGCGGTAAATGACACTTTCCGCCATTAATACCTAAATAACTATTAACTATCTGCCAAAAGTAGCTTAGGTAAGTAGCTTGTTTTAGTAGCTAGCTACTTTTCACAGTAGCTTGTGAATACTTGAAACACATTACCAAAAGCTACAGCTACAAGCTACTTTTTTTTCAAAGTAGCTTGAATAAGTTATTAGCTACCAAAAAAGTAGCTAAGCTAGTAGCTTAACTACTTGGTAGCTAGCTACTGCCCAGCTCTGCCCCGTGGGCCAGTCTGACACTGGCTAGTACTGTGAAAACTCAGAACTCTCTACTCTACCTACAGAGGAATCCAAACATATAACCACATACCATAAAATGTATTGGAAGTGAATAATGTGAAAGAACTTTGCTATAACCTCAACACATTAACTGCCAGACCAATATTGGCAGCTTTTCCCCTGTCGCCACAAAAAAAAAATTCTTTCCCAAAATAATATTTTGTCCACGGATAGTACTTTTAATACTAACAATGCCTATTTGAACAGTTTTTCTGTAGCGGCCATATTAATGACAGAATTTTGACATATGTCACTCGGTCTTATGGACTGAGCCGGCGTACAAATACTAATTTTATTCATGCACGCCGACTCGGTCCGTATCTCGGTCTGCGCCGTTTTGCCTAAGTGTTGTAAATGTGGAAGGGATGTCCCAACTATCTTTAATCACCGGCTCGGTCTATTTGTTCGTTTAAAGTTACCTAAATTTAATAGCTTGGCGTTATAGGCTGAAAAATTGAGGTTGGTTCTAATAGACCGCGTTGGCGATGGTGGATAGTTTTGGACTCGGTCTTATGGACTACAGCGGCGTATCTGGAAACAACGTTCTCCGTCTCATAGACCGAGTTGGCAGTTAACGTGTTAAAGGCCATTTTTCACAATCCGACTAAATTATTTAAAACAGTACAAATTAATCTGTAAATACATAATATGTAGTTATAAGAATATTGTGAAAAATTATTATTTGTAAATAACGGAAAATAGGCTCAAATACCAGTGTATTTACACTGATTCTGAGTCATAAAAAAATAAATAAATAATAATAGATCTCACGTTTTCCTAGTTCTATTCCTCCTTTCCAGCCTCTATTAAAGCAGATTGGGTGGAACAGTCTTGAGCAACCAATACACAGCAATCTCTGTTGATTTTTGCCACAACATCTAAATTTATCAATATCTCACCTTTTGACGACTATTATTGATGAATTATAAATTAAACTTGGAATGAAAATTCAACCCAATTGCCAGTTACTGTTCTGAAGTTTTTACTATTCCAAATCCAGAAACATCTACAGCTGCAAAAGTCCTTGTCAATGTCAATAATGTTTTCACTAGGTTTGGAATCCCATTGGAACTTCATTCGAATCAAGGGCGCAATTTCGGGTCACAACTATGTATTCCAAAAACTTTGCCAACCGTAAGGCATTCACAAGACCAAAGACCAGAACCACGTCATTGCATCAAAAATCAGATGGCATGGTTGAGAGATTCAACAAGGGAGTCATTGTTAGAAAGATTTTTACAGGTAATGACCAACGTGAATACAGGGACACTTCGGTCCCTGTTTGGGAATCGGCCCACTGAGCAGTGGACTCAGGCTTCCCGTGCCAATCCTTGACGCGTTTCGTCCTTGTTAGGACTCATCAGAAGGACATAGGCTGAAGCTCCCTGTCCAAGCAAAATTGAACTTCGTTGACCAGTCAGAAACAACTACTCCGAGGGCAAATACCCCTACCGGCGTTGAACTACACTGATTGGTCTGAGCTTTCGTTGGCAATAGAAATTGTTAGAAAGATTTTTACAGGTAATGACCAACGTGAATACAGGGACACTGCTCAGTGGGCCGATTCCCAAACAGGGACCGAAGTGTCCCTGTATTCACGTTGGTCATTACCTGTAAAAATCTTTCTAACAATTTCTATTGCCAACGAAAGCTCAGACCAATCAGTGTAGTTCAACGCCGGTAGGGGTATTTGCCCTCGGAGTAGTTGTTTCTGACTGGTCAACGAAGTTCAATTTTGCTTGGACAGGGAGCTTCAGCCTATGTCCTTCTGATGAGTCCTAACAAGGACGAAACGCGTCAAGGATTGGCACGGGAAGCCTGAGTCCACTGCCCAGTGGGCCGATTCCCAAACAGGGACCGAAGTGTCCCTGTATTCACGTTGGTCATTACCTGTAAAAATCTTTCTAACAATTTCTATTGCCAACGAAAGCTCAGACCAATCAGTGTAGTTCAACGCCGGTAGGGGTATTTGCCCTCGGAGTAGTTGTTTCTGACTGGTCAACGAAGTTCAATTTTGCTTGGACAGGGAGCTTCAGCCTATGTCCTTCTGATGAGTCCTAACAAGGACGAAACGCGTCAAGGATTGGCACGGGAAGCCTGAGTCCACTGCTCAGTGGGCCGATTCCCAAACAGGGACCGAAGTGTCCCTGTATTCACGTTGGTCATTACCTGTAAAAATCTTTCTAACAATTTCTATTGCCAACGAAAGCTCAGACCAATCAGTGTAGTTCAACGCCGGTAGGGGTATTTGCCCTCGGAGTAGTTGTTTCTGACTGGTCAACGAAGTTCAATTTTGCTTGGACAGGGAGCTTCAGCCTATGTCCTTCTGATGAGTCCTAACAAGGACGAAACGCGTCAAGGATTGGCACGGGAAGCCTGAGTCCACTGCTCAGTGGGCCGATTCCCAAACAGGGACCGAAGTGTCCCTGTATTCACGTTGGTCATTACCTGTAAAAATCTTTCTAACAATTTCTATTGCCAACGAAAGCTCAGACCAATCAGTGTAGTTCAACGCCGGTAGGGGTATTTGCCCTCGGAGTAGTTGTTTCTGACTGGTCAACGAAGTTCAATTTTGCTTGGACAGGGAGCTTCAGCCTATGTCCTTCTGATGAGTCCTAACAAGGACGAAACGCGTCAAGGATTGGCACGGGAAGCCTGAGTCCACTGCCCAGTGGGCCGATTCCCAAACAGGGACCGAAGTGTCCCTGTATTCACGTTGGTCATTACCTGTAAAAATCTTTCTAACAATTTCTATTGCCAACGAAAGCTCAGACCAATCAGTGTAGTTCAACGCCGGTAGGGGTATTTGCCCTCGGAGTAGTTGTTTCTGACTGGTCAACGAAGTTCAATTTTGCTTGGACAGGGAGCTTCAGCCTATGTCCTTCTGATGAGTCCTAACAAGGACGAAACGCGTCAAGGATTGGCACGGGAAGCCTGAGTCCACTGCTCAGTGGGCCGATTCCCAAACAGGGACCGAAGTGTCCCTGTATTCACGTTGGTCATTACCTGTAAAAATCTTTCTAACAATTTCTATTGCCAACGAAAGCTCAGACCAATCAGTGTAGTTCAACGCCGGTAGGGGTATTTGCCCTCGGAGTAGTTGTTTCTGACTGGTCAACGAAGTTCAATTTTGCTTGGACAGGGAGCTTCAGCCTATGTCCTTCTGATGAGTCCTAACAAGGACGAAACGCGTCAAGGATTGGCACGGGAAGCCTGAGTCCACTGCTCAGTGGGCCGATTCCCAAACAGGGACCGAAGTGTCCCTGTATTCACGTTGGTCATTACCTGTAAAAATCTTTCTAACAATTTCTATTGCCAACGAAAGCTCAGACCAATCAGTGTAGTTCAACGCCGGTAGGGGTATTTGCCCTCGGAGTAGTTGTTTCTGACTGGTCAACGAAGTTCAATTTTGCTTGGACAGGGAGCTTCAGCCTATGTCCTTCTGATGAGTCCTAACAAGGACGAAACGCGTCAAGGATTGGCACGGGAAGCCTGAGTCCACTGCTCAGTGGGCCGATTCCCAAACAGGGACCGAAGTGTCCCTGTATTCACGTTGGTCATTACCTGTAAAAATCTTTCTAACAATTTCTATTGCCAACGAAAGCTCAGACCAATCAGTGTAGTTCAACGCCGGTAGGGGTATTTGCCCTCGGAGTAGTTGTTTCTGACTGGTCAACGAAGTTCAAGGGAGTCATTGTTTCGGAAATGCATCGACAACCTGGCGCCCGGATTCTGAGAAAATTACTTGTTTACGTCGGGCAGCGCGTCTCTCTGGAAATTCTCTTATATTCGATTCAATGTTTTTCTAGCTAGATCTGAAGTGTAATTTTGAAAATACAAATAGAGCATAGTAATAAGTTTGAACCCGGAATCCTTGACAATACAGTAATACACTGGAGTATTATAAAAATTGCCTAAAATTGGGGCACTTGACAAAATTACGTGACCACTTTTTTTTTCCATACAATGATTATTATTAATATAATTCAGTTTCTTAATTGTTTTTAAGAGTCCTTAATTAAGTTAAAACCATAAAAATTAAGTAAAATATCACTAAAGTGTTTCACATTACCTAAGACAATAAACTATGTCCTTTACCTAAAAATATTTATCCAAAGAACCACAAACAAATCTACTGCCTAAAAAGACTTAATCTTAGTAGTACCTATATTTTTGTACACAAAACATTAAGTACAAAAAAATCTTAAGGCACATTTCTGACAGTTCTTTGGATTTTTTAAATTAATATCAAATATTTACAGTGTTGTGCCTCAATTTGTAGAAAAACACTAACAATTCAATACTCTTTCTTAAGGCCGAATTTTCCTGTAATTATTTAGTACAACAATACATTTAGGTTTAAATGCAGCTTCTGAACAATTTCTAGTTGCATAACAGCCTAAAATTAACAATATTTGGCACTAAGTCTGGTTCTGGTGATATTGTGGCCTGCCTGCAAGCTCTAGCAAATATCTACAATAAACAAACAAAAATTAATATCATTCTGCCACTGGTTTCAATGGTAACTCACCTATCAGGATGATCTAACCAATCAGCTGCACTTAATTTGACAGCTCTTTGTTTCTCAGCTTCTTTGACCTCCCATTTTTTCACTTCCAGCTGTCGCTCTCTTTGCACTTGGTCTCCACAGCCCCATACCTCAATTGTTTCAATGTAATATGGGATTTTTTGCCATTCTATTTTCTCGAAACCTCCATCTACTGTTATAATAGGGGCTCTAGGATCTGAACCTGCTCTTAGTCCTTGCGGATATCCACGGACTGAGGTATTTAGGTAAATGAGTTTTTGACCTTTTTCCTCGCCTTTTTCTAATAGCTGAAATCTGAAGAAAAATCAACTGTAGATCTTCTGACGGCTACAAAAATTGGTTCTTACTTGGGTAAAAGTTGGAAGACAGAAGCACCTTCACCTCCCCAATAGTGATGAGACTCTTTCCATTCACAAGGAGAAGCTATACAAAATTTTTGATTATTTTCAACCTTAAAGATGACCAAAGTAGGTCCCTTATAGCCAAGCACATGATGCAAGAACCTATTAGCACCAAGTCCATTTTCGTCGGAGTCGTAGATCAAAGCCCAGTGTGAGGGTATGGCACAAGCGATTTTTGAGAGAAATGACACACTGGCTAAACCTATAATAGTAATTTATGTACCAAGGGTGCAATGAGAGTGTTTGCGGCCCGCCGCACAGTGTTTTGAAATGGGAAAAATGGTGACCATCTGATGAAAAAGTCAAAGTTGAAAAAATAATTTTTTCTCTATAGTCACAGGTTGTTAAGACCGTAAGCTATGCCAGTACTAATTAGTTTTTTTTACAACTGCTGGTTTGTGAATAAATTTAATTCAAACTTGCTCCTCTGTGATTTACAAAATCTTAGGTTAAAACCTTTTCTATTTTCAAAAATTTTATGCTTATTAAGTACAAGCTATTTTCAACTTGTTTTTTGTATACAGTATTATTAAGTCATTGACAATATATTCCTGTTTATTTTTTTTGTAAATGTGCAGTAAATATATGTCAAATGTTTTTTTTTCTTCAGTATTTTTTCCAACAAGTTTAAGTTCACGCTGACTTATAAAAAAATGTCCAAATATGTCCAGGCTGATTAATATCTTGTTTGACAGAGCTACCTTTATAGAAGAAAGGTACATCTTTTTTGTTTGCTAATATTTGCTATTCTTAGGAAAAAGTGCTTTTATTTTACATCATGCAGTGCATTAGGAGTGGATATCTTTTTTCACATAATTGATATTTAAATCTTTTTGGGGCCTTTTAAACTATCTATGAGAATTCTTATTTACTTAATTCAATATATACAGGATACAGGGTGACAATTTGAAAAGTAGCAATCGGGAATATCTCTTAGACAAAAAATAATATCAGGAAGTCTCAAAAACGTATCGGGAAATTGGAGGGGGTCATCCCACCTCACCCCTCAGGCAGAGCTGGGCAGTAATTGCCTTGAAAGTGCTTGAAAAAGTGCTTCAAGCACAATAGTGCTTCGAGCACAGTGTTTGCAAGCACTTTTAAATTACAGTGCTTGGTAATTGGTAATCGAAGCCCTCTATAAACAGTGCTTGGTAATTGGTAATTGATTTTCGCATGTCAAGCCATTTAAAGTGCTTGCAAGCACTTAAAAGGCTTGCAAGCACTCAAAAGAGCTTGCAAGCACTAAAAATCAAGTCCACAGTAACAACTTAATGCAGCATAAGCTTTAATGTGATTGGCTGGTTGAAGGCCGTCTCGGCATCGGCAATATGGAAAGTGTTGTGTATTGTGTTAAGGTGTTTTTCCACGACCCGTAATATCGCAAGCCGGATTGCGCCGTCCTTCCTATGAAGCGTTGGCGCGTATAAGCGCGGCCTGGCCTGCAATATCATGGGCCGTAGGAAGCCAGCTTTATAGTTGAGTTATTGGCTATCGATCGTTATTCAATATCAGTTGTGTTCTTTTACCCGTCGTATGCTGATTTGCGATTGCCAGTTTATTAAAGTCTTTATCTTAAGCTATAATAATGTTAATATTCGATGACACAGTGTACTGTAGTGTATGTAGAGTGACGAGACGAAGACTACTAATAACAAATTAAGAACAAAAAACTTTGGTTTGATCATTTTATATTATAACTATCATCATATCAACATCAACCAAAAACGTTAAAACTTATTACGCTTCAAATTGCTTTCTCGCCTTTCTCCCCAGACCCCAATTCAGCAACATCTTTATTTTAAAAATAAATTGGAAGCAATTGGCAAAGTAGTGCTTGGTAATTGGTAATTTATTTGAGATAAAAGTGCTTGCAAGCACCTGCAAATAATCAACAATGATTTTAAACACTTTCTGAGTAATTGGTGCTTGGTAATTGAATTTTGCAATTACTTTCCTTGGTAATTGGTAATTGCAAGCACTTAGAATTTCCAAAGTGCTTAGTGCTTGATGCTGGCAATTCCTTTTCCTAAGGGCTTGGTGCTTGGTGCTCCAAGCACTTTTTTAGAGTGCTTTGCCCAGCTCTGCCCTCAGGGGGTAGCTACCCCAACCTTTTTTTTAAATACGAACCTACCTTGTGTTGCACATCGTTGGATAGCTCGTTGTTATCCCTTTACAGTCCCATAGAAAAATCTCAAATCGAACGATTAGTTTTCGAGATATCGGTTTTTAAAAGTAAGCACATTGTGAAAACTAAACTGCTGGAACTTCGACACGCATAATAGCTATTTATGTACCAAGGGGATTATGTAGATTATAATGCCCGAAGGCGAAACTAGCCCGAGGGCCTATGGCCCAAGGGATATATTTCGCCTGAAGGGCATTATAATCTTGAAATCCCCGTGGTGCATACAATGCTTTATTTTCTACTCAACACAATGTTTTTTCATCAATTTGTACTTAACAAAATCAGTTAAACTTGTGTGACAGAATTATGTTTTGTATTTTGACATGTACCTGTACCTGTGACCTGTACCTGTACCTGCGACCTGTACATAGAAACGAAATAAATTAATATATCTATAAACATCTCATAAGGCAAGGCAACGGTGGTGGTCCTGTGGGTTAACGCGCTGGACTACATGGGAAACATTGATGGTAGACCGGGTTCGAATCCTGGATAGACCGAAAATTATTTTCAGTCAGACATTTAGTGGCTGCCTAGGGTAAAGTGCAAATTAATAGAACAACAACAACAAAAACACCTTAAGGTATTATAAGCGGGCGTTATAGATCATAACGCCCGCAAAAGCGGGCGTTATGGATCAGGTTGTTATAGGTTTGTTAACGTATTTCGTTTCCTAGGTATTATGGATCTATAATAGTAAAGTAGAAAATAAAATTCTTTATTTTCTACTAAACGAAATACGTTAACACACCTATAACAACCTGATCCATAACGCCCGCTTTTGCGGGCGTTATGATATATAACGCCCGCTTATAATACCTTAAGGTGTTTTTGTTGTTGTTGTTCTATTAATTTGCACTTTACCCTAGGCAGCCACTAAATGTCTGACCGAAAATAATTTTCGGTCTAGCCAGGATTCGAACCCGGTCTACCATCAATGTTTCCCATGTAGTCCAGCGCGTTAACCCACAGGACCACCACCGTTGCCTTGCCTTATGAGATGTTTATAGATATATTAATTTATTTCGTTTCTATGTACAGGTCGCAGGTACAGGTACAGGTCACAGGTACAGGTACATGTCAAAATACAAAACAATATTCTGTCACACAAGTTTAACTGATTTTGTTAAGTACAAATTGATGAAAAAACATTGTGTTGAGTAGAAAATAAAGCATTGTATGCACCACGGGAATTTCAAGATTATAATGCCCTTCAGGCGAAATATATCCCTTGGGCCATAGGCCCTCGGGCTAGTTTCGCCTTCGGGCATTATAATCTACATAATCCCCTTGGTACATAAATAGCTATTATTTTCTACTTTACTATTATAGATCCATAATACCTAGGAAACGAAATACGTTAACACACCTATAACAACCTGATCCATAACGCCCGCTTTTGCGGGCGTTATGATATATAACGCCCGCTTATAATACCTTAAGGTGTTTTTGTTGTTGTTGTTCTATTAATTTGCACTTTACCCTAGGCAGCCACTAAATGTCTGACCGAAAATAATTTTCGGTCTAGCCAGGATTCGAACCCGGTCTACCATCAATGTTTCCCATGTAGTCCAGCGCGTTAACCCACAGGACCACCACCGTTGCCTTGCCTTATGAGATGTTTATAGATATATTAATTTATTTCGTTTCTATGTACAGGTCGCAGGTACAGGTACAGGTCACAGGTACAGGTACATGTCAAAATACAAAACAATATTCTGTCACACAAGTTTAACTGATTTTGTTAAGTACAAATTGATGAAAAAACATTGTGTTGAGTAGAAAATAAAGCATTGTATGCACCACGGGGATTTCAAGATTATAATGCCCTTCAGGCGAAATATATCCCTTGGGCCATAGGCCCTCGGGCTAGTTTCGCCTTCGGGCATTATAATCTACATAATCCCCTTGGTACATAAATAGCTATTATTTTCTACTTTACTATTATAGATCCATAATACCTAGGAAACGAAATACGTTAACACACCTATAACAACCTGATCCATAACGCCCGCTTTTGCGGGCGTTATGATCTATAACGCCCGCTTATAATACCTTAAGGTGTTTTTGTTGTTGTTGTTCTATTAATTTGCACTTTACCCTAGGCAGCCACTAAATGTCTGACTGAAAATAATTTTCGGTCTATCCAGGATTCGAACCCGGTCTACCATCAATGTTTCCCATGTAGTCCAGCGCGTTAACCCACAGGACCACCACCGTTGCCTTACCTTATGAGATGTTTATAGATATATTAATTTATTTCGTTTCTATGTACAGGTCGCAGGTACAGGTACAGGTCACAGGTGCAGGTACATGTCAAAATACAAAACAATATTCTGTCACACAAGTTTAACTGATTTTGTTAATAACAAATTGATGAAAAAACATTGTGTTGAGTAGAAAATAAAGCATTGTATGCACCACGGGGATTTCAAGATTATAATGCCCTTCAGGCGAAATATATCCCTCGGGCCATAGGCCCTCGGGCTAGTTTCGCCTTCGGGCATTATAATCTACATAATCCCCTTGGTACATAAATAGCTATTTTTGCCTATTTTTGAAGTCCATTTTCTCAGAAAGTATAAGAGATATTTGATTGCGGTTTGAAGCATATTGGGGCGCATTGTTTGGTGTTCAAGGCATATGGTATCGTGCTGATAAACAGTAACGTTATCTTCAACATACAGGGTGGACAGTAAAACAGTGCAAAGTCTGTCAAATTTCAGAGCGTCGCCATTTCTTTTCAAACATACTCCTGCTTTTTTTCTGGATTTAGGAAGAATCAATAGTTCAATGGTAAAAAACAACTTGAAGGGTTTTTGAATAAATCTCGTAGTTTTGCAGAAATTTCAGTTTACCCGAAAAATGACTTACATCACCCTGATTCTTTGTCTCAGTTATTCGAAACAATGTTCTTCATTAATGTTGGGTCAACGTTTTCGTCTTTTATCGTTTCAAAAAGATTTCATACAGGGTGGAAAAAAGTAAGTTTTTAATACTAATTCTTGGATGGTCCG